ATGCCACCCCCTCCTCTTTCTGCAGATGGAACAAAACGCATTGTACCTGCTCAGGATAACTGGGTGGGAATAACACATAATACATACAATTCTGATAAAAGGAAGAGGTTCCTTAATCAATATCAAAACTTCAGGAACATCCAAATTTTGGCATCAACATTATTTTTTTTATTTGTTTTTTTTGTTTTCTTTTGTTTCTAGGGAAAAAGAATCTCTGTTAATCAGCAACAGCTTGTGCAATTGTAAAAAAATATGGTGTTATTACAACCTAAACAGTGAATGCCTGGATGTGTCCCCCCACCTACCTCTCCCTTATACCCTTCCCCCAACACATGCACACAAACTCATACCAACACATCATTCCTAATTGCTCTTGAATATTTATTTAGCCTATGCCTACTTGAGTAACTCCCACACCCTTCTTTTTTCTTTTCTGTTCTGGAAGACCCCTCTTCTGTGCAACCACAGCACATTTATCCAAATCAGCCCAGTGAATAGGCTATGAGCGACCGAAAAAAGTGGCCTTGCCTCATGAGTCTTTGCATCCTTGCATCTTGTCTAATCATTGGCAACAAGCCTTATCTTATTTTTTCCTGCTCTTCACTCTTCATATGATGACATATCTTTTAAAATATTTTTTTTTCAAAGAAGACCGCTGTAAATAGCATTTACCAAACCTTTCTGTTACATTGAATTTAACTATATGTTCATAGATTTGGTCATAAAATAAATCATTTCCTGATATCATAATACAATAGAGAAAGAGCAGTCCTCTGAAAGGCTTGCTACTGGAACTTTTTTTTTACTGAAATCGGGGAGAAAAAGATGTAGAGGACCAATGTGGTGTAATAAATAGGAAAATAATACAAAGGAATAAATTTAGTGTAGAATAACATAATTTTCCTCTGAATGTGTGTGTGTAATATATATATATATATATGTATATGAATTTTATATATAAGAGAGAGCTTACATTTTAAATCTAACAGAAGGAAAGAAAATTTGAGACATTTCATCCAAACTTGCCTCCTGTATAGTGAGCTGAGTTAGGATATAACTGAATGTCTGCTGAAAACCTTGGAGCATTTAAAATAAGCCTTAAAATACCTCCCCAAAATCACCTAATCATTCTACCCATCTCACAGAAATGACACCCTCACTCCTACAGTGTGTCAGATCTAGGGGCAATCAAATAGAATATGGATAGAGTAAAAGTTTGCAATAAAAAGTCAGTTTCATGTTCACAGACTGGCCGAGTTGCTGCTGCAGAAGGTGACTTGATTAAACCTCACAGAGCCTCATTTCTGGCACATCTTTGACCAGTTAGGCAGGCCCAGACTCTGCCCAAGTTCTGCAATTTCTCATTCCTCTTAGGGAATTGTTCTGCCTCTTCCACAGCTTCTCCTCCTCCAATCAAGGGTCTGACACTGCCCATTGACCACGTTTATTTTTCTGCCTTTTGGCACTAGGAGCTTGCCTGTTGTAGGATAAAAGTGGAATTCTCTGCTGTCTGCAGGGCTTTCCCCAGGGAAGAGAGCATGAAACCCAAACTTATATATAAAATCATATCCTGTTTGCAAACATCATATTCCCTTTGCTTCTCACTAATCTGGTCCTGTAAACCCCAGCACAGCTTGAGAGCCCATTCCTCATCTAAACAAATGCCATAAGTCCCTTTATACTTTTACAACCATGTCAAAAAATAATATTGCCTGCCAATAGTGATGTGATTGGAGTTGCCTCCTCCGAGCCATAAAAGAAGTGCAGAGTCTGTTATCAATTTCTCTAAGTGTATCAGGGGAATTATGAGTCGATTCAGTTCCAAGTTATAAATGACAACTCAAAAGCCGCAGAAGCGTTTGAAGCTGGGAGCTGATGACGACATTATCATAAAAGCCTGCTCGTCCTTGCTTTTGTGGTTTTTTTGTGGCCTATCAAGTGAAGAGGAAAAAATAAGGCTGAGAAATGACTTCAAGATTTCTTCACACAGCAGCAAGTCAGATGGCCAAAAAATGATCACTATTTTTAGTGATATACCCCAAGGACTGAGAGCTAACGTGGTCCTGTGCTGGCTTTCATTTCCAGAGTCCCTTAATTATCTATTTCACTATTCAATGACCACGTCCTGGGATTTGGTAAAATGCTCTTTCAGTTGGTGCATTTTCTTGTAGTGCAATCACATAGCAGTCATAAATGAGTCATGCCACAGTAACTAAACAAAATGAGAACAAAACAAAGGAATTCAGAAATCTTGAGACTGTTGTTAAAAATGCACTTCTGGAGAGGACACTTTAAAGCACCTTAAAGACCTTTTGCCCATTGAGCTACTTACCCAACACTGTCAAATTACCACATGTAATTTTAGGGGGAAATTTAATAGTAAGTAGGGATTTTCTGATTTTGTAATTTCCCAGGCAGTCTTCTCAAAAGCCAATTAACCTATCAGCATTCAGCAGGTATATATTAAATCTATCTAGTAGAAAGGTATATATTCTAGGTAACTGTAGTTTATTTTAACAATTGGAGATCACTAAGCCTTTTGGAATTTAAACCAGTGGGTCATTGAACTAAAAGATCATTTGAACTAGACTAGCGCTTAAGACAAAAGCAATTTCAGTGGTTTTCAAGCTCTGTAGAGTGCCCCCATGTTCCCAACATGGACCACTCTAAGTTCATACTGGGTATTTTTTGTTTATTTAATATGTCTGGGGCTGTCCTGGAGGTAAAATTTTAGGCTGGTACAAATCCAGAGGATTCAGCATTACTCCTAGGACTTGTATCAAAACCAGAGATCTGAGGGGGAAGACGGTTCCTCAATGTCTAAGAACACAATATGGTTTCTGAAAAAAAACTAAAGCAAAAAAGAGTGAATCAAACTAGTTCTCTAAAGCATCAACAAGGACAAGTTTGTGTATGCCTGTGTATACACACACACAATTGTGCTCACCTAGACCTATATAACCACCACCAGAAGATCTTCAGAAGACCAATAGGCAAATTCGATAAACAGAAGTGTCTCTCTACAGCCCTGTCTAGCATGCTGGAAGCAAACTAATCCAGTCTTCCTCCTTCTGTCTCTGCTTGCCAAAGCTGGATTTACCCATCACCACTGCTGCTACCATCCGGGCTAGGTCAGTCTGGGAACATCACAAAGACTAATTCTATGACACCCTGTGCTTTGTGTTGGACATACAGGGCCAGAAGCAGCAGTCACTATTCATTCCTTGGTCACTTCTAAGAGTATACTAGAGAATTTCTGGCTAAAGAATTAAAAGTTACCTTAGTATGGGTTTAGAGCGGCTAAGTACAAGTACTTTGTGTTCAAGGATAGTTGTATAGGAGCAGCCCAAGCCAGACTGGCAGGTGTGGATCCTAGGGGGCTGTCCTCATTTCAGCACTGGGTCATGAACTAAATGTACTTGTAAATAAGTGGGGGTTTGAGGACCATCACTCTTTAAGCTGCTTTGATTTCCTCCCCATCATTGTATCCACTAAGTAGCTATTATTTTGTTTCATTTTCTGCCTTATTTGCAGGTAATCAGCCATTCTCTCAAAATGGGCACTTGAGATGTTAGAAAATAAGTGCCAAAGCCAATGAAACATTTTAAAAGTCAGTTTATTCTCTGCTTTTATAGAATGATTTTATAAGGTAAGGTCTTAGCTTCACAAGAGGTTTGCTAAAAATGATCAAGGATTAATGTGGGCTGGTGGCTGTCCTGTGCTTGGAATAAAAAAGCAAAGCTCATGGGAGAGCTACCACAAAAGGGGACCACACCACATCAGCCACGCTGCTCCACTGCTAGGCTCCACAGGCTGCAGCTGGCCTGCTGAGACAGGAGCTGTGGAAGGACTTGAGAAGCTCTTTTGGAACTCCTCCACATGGACATACACATCAACCTCACACTTTTCAGCCTTTCACCCTTTTCTCTGTGGCTTCAGGAAAATAACCTCACTTCTCTGAGCCTTCAGTTTCTAATCTGCAATATATTGTTAATAATAGTAACTAACTATTTTACAAAGCTGTTATGAAGCTCAGTTGTATATTGTGTATAAAGTCCAAACAGATACTGGTTGTAGTTCTCATTCTTATTTCTAGAAAAGACAGAATTAGAAGTGAAGGAATAGAAAGATTATCCTTGCTAAATCTAGCATCACTAAAATGATAGAATTAACTGAAAATATGTGGGATTTCCCTATATAAAACATAGAGCAAAATATTGCCTACAATAGGACATGAACAGGACTAGTTTTATTCTTTCATTCCAATATCCAAAAATTCTAATTGACTTAAATTCCTTCGTCTTCGGAAACCTGATGCAGATTCATGTTGTCTTAACATGACTTAGCACTTAGTTGTATAGGATGATGGTTTGTTACTGGTAAGGGTTAAGTTTAAACAGATTTCAAGTTATAGGCAATGTTCTAATCATTCACAAAAATGTAGACGTTTTTCTTCATGTGTCGCTGGACTTGAACAAATTTGTCCTTGAAATGTAGTATAAATATCCTGGGTCAAAAAGGCTTTGTTAATTATTTAACACAAAAACGGCCCCAGGAGGTTCACAAACAAAATGTCCCACAATGCAGAGCACTTTGTGACGTTTATGTTGTTTCATCAGGAATATAGTGGATATGCATACTGTGTGTGATTCTACTGAAAACTGAATTCTGCTATAAAGCTGTGTTAAACCCTTGCTTATAACCTTTTCTTTAGCTACATAAAATTCTAGAAAAGCTGGACACGTGACTAGTGCAGTCATACAGGTCCTTACAGTTAGAAGAGCCCCACACTTAATCTGCTGCATCTTAAAATTCCCAGTAATTTTTGAGTCAAGGGGATCTGCATTTCATTTGGAAATGAGCCCTGCATTATGTAGCCAATCGTGAAGTCTAGTATAACTTTTATTGGGAAAGAGACTTAAAAATAATTGAATAGATAAATCAAAGAATATATTTTTGGAACTTTATGTTATATAAAGGCAGAAACAAATTTTACTTACCCCAAGTCCACCACAAGGTAATGAAGAAAAAAACTTTTGAGAGGTGTCACCTACACAGTAAGAAGACATGAAAAAATATGTAAGTTGAGGATATAGTTACAGTTTCTTAGTTTGGGGATATTTATAAACACTTAACATTATGCCACATGTGTTTATCATCTGACTCAGAAGGAAAATGATCAAATTTTAGATATGTAAGGACTCAAAGCAAATTACTACAAGAATTATTACATGTAGAGTCTATTGAATCACACGAACACATATGAATTTGAGTCTCAAGATTTTGATCACCTTATACATCATATAATACATCACAATGTATTTTTTATTTATAATTTAAATAACTCAGCTATTCATTGAGTGTATCTCTCTATTGTGATGTTTGAGCAACAAGGTTTATGAAATAGTCATTTCTTAAATATTTCAAAAATTAAAATATTCAAATATGTAGACTTATTTTTAATTTCTCATTTAGAGAAAGCTAAGACAAAGCATATTATAAGCCTCTACAATATTCATAATTTTTAAACAGACAAGTCACAAAATACTATAAAAAGGGTAACCCTTTTGGGGCATCTATATACATCTTCTTTAAAATATATGCCAAAATATCTTATTTGTGACTGTCTTGGGATTTACATTTCATGAAATTTTATTTTGCTTATTTGCATTTTTATTTTCTACATTATCTGCTACATGAATAGAGGAAACAAAAATACCACTAAACCACTAAGACTGAACTCAGCCTTGCAATGTAGTTAAAGGGCAAAGCACTGTACATCTCCATATCATAGTCAAAAGGTTCTTAAGTGACTGAGATCATTCAAGAGATTAGTGGGAGAACCCGGTACAAACCTCCATTTAAACTATCCCAATTCAGTTGTTCTGCTGATGATCAATGAAAAAATAACAGTGAAAATTAAAAACAGGCTTGTGATGGAATTCATATGCCTTGTCAGTAAAAGTCTAGATTCTACTGTCACTGAAGAAAGTTTGTTTTGAAAATGATAAATTGTATGCATTAGTTAAGTGCAAATGCAAAGATAAGACATCTTGTTATATATATAAGGATGTTCATGGAAAAAAAGTAAGTTGACAAAGAAAATCACAGAAAAATATTAAAATTGGAACACTGACAATAGTAAAAGATACATAAAAATTATGGATAGCTTGGGGAGGGGTAAAGTTTTCTTAACTTTTTTCTCATAACAAAGATATTGCTACATCCTTGAATATTTTGCAAGGATGTACTATGTTACATATGAAATAAAAATATATAATACTGCATACTTTAATATCTGAACTCTTCATTCTATAGTCAGTGAGAAGGGATAATATTAAAATATAATAAAGTAATTTTTTAAATATTAAACTGTAAGAGAATAAGGAAAATAAATGACATGCTACTTTAGGAAAATCTAATTTACTAATGTTTACAATAATACAAAACAGCCAAACAATAATTTAAATTTAGTGATGTGTAAAAAATTTTAATTCACTCAATTGACTGGATTTATTTTTTAATAATTTTATATTGACATATCCATGGACTGAGATCTGGCTAACCACAAGGTAATGAAAACTGGTAGTAAGAATGACAGGAATATTAATGCTAAGGAAAACCTTGCACCAGAAATAATTGGAGAGAATGTTTTTAAAGTGTCACCTTACAAGGTCTAGAGTATTTAGAGAGAAAAATGGTGCCCATTTTCAAATCTAATTATTTTATAAACTATAGATGTCTTTCAAGATACAAAGACTGATAAGTCTGGTTATAATGAACTTTTATTTAAATCCTTCCTCCTGACTCCAGAACACAACTATCAATAGTAGTAGTATAAATTTATATATATTTAACTTAGAAAATTCATGCAACTAAATGAATTTCCATTCAATGTGTGTGCACACTGAAACACATACACAGCCATCTGTGTTGGGAGGGGTTGGGAAAGGAAGAGGGATGTATGGGGTGAAATAACAGGAAAAGAGAATATCTTGATGGTTATGAATATCTATATATTTACACATGGAAGCTTCAATCTGGTCTTTCAGATGTAAGTAAAAATAAGCCACAAGAATTCAAATTTCATACAAAACCAAAAACTATGAAGTTAAACTTGTAAACAAATGGGATTATTCACTTATAATTTGAATTCAGGCAAGTCAGCTAGGTTTCTGGGTTCACAGGAGAAAGTGAAGTAGTTCAGAAATGTCATCAAAGTTGAATTTAGTCCTTGACATCAACATGGAACAGGGTAACATCCTTGTTGATCCTGTGTCCCTGCACAGTGTTGCGGTGGTTGCACAGATCCCTGGAAATTCCTATTGAATTCCAAATGTGTATCTAAAGCTAATTCTAAAATCATCAGTTGGTTGAATATTATCCTACATTATATACTCAAGCTAATGAGATAAATGGCCTATTTATTTGGATTAAAAAAATTTTAATTTAATTATTGGTACTTGCTGTTTTCCTCATGTACATACATGAAAAGGACCTCTAAGTTCTAAATTAGAGATTCACTTTTAAACCATCAAATTTTTTAATGATATATATGTTGACTATTTTGAGAAAATAAGTTCTGTTCAAAAGTGTTTAATTTCATTTTGAAAGGTGGTACTGCCCTGTTTCATAAGTAAAATAGTTTGAAGTTGCTGAAGTTTTAACTTCATTTCTTCTACAAATATATATGTTCTCTTATAATGTGGAATAACGGTTGTTTTGGAAATCTCTCACCTACATGTAAGTGTATCCCAGTTCAATCCAAAGTACCTACTCCTACACCTAGGTTGACTTAATAGTGTGAGAATACAGTAAAAAAAAAAAATTGGGAAGGCTTTCTACTTGTTTTCACTTAATTAAAAAAATAATAAAATGTACATAGCTTCCTATCTTAAAATGTCTTAGTAATTTGACATCACAAAATCATGGGAGTTAATGTTTGACTTACTTTATCCTTGTGGTAAACTGGGTGAGATTATTAATTCATGCTAAAATACAGACGTTTATTATATAGTGTCCACAACAAAAGAAGTACTTTATGTAAAGGATTTGCATGCACAGATATTGATTCCTTCAACAGAAAAGAAAGAACTATGTAGTATGTATGTTTATATTGACTTATTTGCCTATATATTAATATGTACTTTTAATTCTACTACAGAAATTGTTTTCATAATCAGATTTTATGTTTTCTAAAAATTGAGTAATTATTATGTGTTTCCATTTCCCTCAGTTTCTCCCTAACCTTTCTCCAAAAATCTGTTGCTTTCTATCACTCATATAATATATAAAGCTGTGCAACATAAATTTTATTTAAAATCTGTGGGGAAAGGTTGAAAAATTAACTAAAATGTATGTTCATTAATTTTCTACTTCTGCCATCTACCTGTTTAGTTCCATAGTTATGGCATGGCTTAAAGAGATTATATTAAGATTTAAAATATAATCTTACTATAAAATGTAGTGCTCTGGGCAAGTAATAAATTTTCATTTAAAATAAATCATAGTATGCTTTTTGTCTGTTAAGGTCATAGAAAAAAGAACTGAAGGACATGGAACAAATGGGAAAAGTGAAAATAAATATGCATAAAGAATATAGAAGTCTTTTTTTTTAGTTTAAAAATGTTTAAAAAAAATGCTTCAACAATGCGTTTTTTCCCATGTGGGAAGATGCTGTGAACAAATGCTATTCATATAAGGGTTAATTTAAAAGTAAACACCATGAATTTGCATTGCCATTTTTTCCAATGCAGGATTTTCTTAATCTACATTGGCTTCTAATGTGAATGACTCATTCCACAGAGTAATGCTGTTGAAAAAGCCAATTCTTTGTCACACTGCTTGCCAAGTACTCTGAACTGACACCACTATTGACTAATGATAGTGCTGGAATGTGCTGTTCTCAGTAGAATGGAGGCTTATACAAACCTAAGAGTGTCCTGGGGTCCAGCTTCTGTCCATCCAGGGGGTTGGTGCCATACAACAGAGAGTGATGTTCGGAATGAACAAGCTGTATTTCCTCTAGGCTGGCTTTTCGACCTTGAATTCGCTGAAAGAAAACAACAGAAGCCTACAGTACTTCACTGACAACAGCCAGAAGAAAAGTAGACCCCAAGTCACATTTAAGATGATTAATAAAGGGCTGAGTTTCATCGTGCAGGAATGTCACACTGATCTGCTTAGTAAAGCAGCATAATAATATCTGAAAAATGAGTGTATGCTAGGTTCAGATGCAAAGGATTGTTTATGCCTAAATGGGCAATTGACAGAGAGTATATTCTTCTTTGGCATACAAGAGGTATCTATAACATAGAAATTACTAGTTAACTCCTCTGTAAAAGTATCAGTTTAAAAACAAACAAGGGTTACTGTTTAGCTGAGAAGTAAATTCATTAAAATCTTATTTCACACTCACCTGAAGGAATTGGAACAAATCCCTTATTGTTTCTTAAAGGGCATAAATAAGGACCATCACATTTTAATGTATTTACAAATACGCCGGTCACTTCATGGGCATGCACCTCATAGTATTGTTAATCTAGATAATGTTACTCAAACTGTGTCCTATATTTTAGTAACAGTTCAAGAACTGTTTGTGAATGGTCTGTGATGAGGTCTGCATAGAAATTCATAGTAAATATTTAGAAACTCTTATAGTAAATTGACGGAGTATTTTTATGTCTGTTGAATCTAACCTAATCGTACATGTCTTCAATCTTTATTTCACTTTTGTGGAATATTATATTTAATGAATTGTATAAAAGCATTAGTCTGTGAAAGAATGGAAATTAAACAAAAACAATAACTGCTGATCACCCAGAGATAGTTTGAGACATTCTAGACTCAGTCAATATTTTTACACACATGGTAGGGCAGACACTTTCATTTCAACTAGCAAAGAATGGTCCTTCAACATAGCCAAAATTGTGTGTTAAGTTAAACTTCAGTTAATCAATTAGTAAAGTGTTCTTCCTGGCCACAGGTCTAAGCGGACAAGTCTGCAAGCCCAATGAACACCATGTTAATATATGACATTAACTAGCCTTACTTTTGAAAATTGCTTGGCTTCCTAAAATTACTCAGATGGTATTTATTATTTCACTTAAAATATGTATCACAACAAGGCACGTATAAGATAACGTATTAGTGTCCTCTCATACTCCCGAACAAGAAATCAGCAGGTGACCTGGGAATACCAGGTGACAAAGCCCCTCCCACAGCACCAGGACAACTCTGTACTCAACCTCCCTCGTTTAAGATGATGTTGTGGCTGTTGATATGTGGTTCACTTTGAAGGCAGGCTGGGAAAATCTTGATGTACTGATACTTTCTAGGAGTTTACTGGGTAGTGAGCAGAGCTGGGCTTGTCACTGAAAATAAATCATCATGTCACAGTGAGAAAGGAATGTTGGGGAACCCAAGGGGTAGGAGGCAGGTAACAGGAGTGATGTAAAACAGAAATGTGACACTGCCATCATGTGCCATATAAACAAACTAATGTTTATGGAGCTTTGTCATAGCATTGAAATTACTGTTTTTGACAACTTATGTTTTTAGAAAAATTAAAATATGCTTTAGGAAAATTATTCCTAGTTAGGTATTGAATGATGAAATGAAACTAGGTAAGTAATGCTGAAGAGTAAGGCAAAGTTAAAGATGGCCATCTGGTCAGCTATTATTCGATCAATAAACAAACATGTTATTGACCTAGGTGGCTTGCTGGTAAACATTAAATTTGGAGATATCTATGGAAGACCAGAACATCCAAAGAAGTAGAATGACAAGTAAGAAGATAAAATGAGCAAGGGAAAGTTCAAAGTCAACATTAAAGGGCAACATTTTAACTGTGGGATTTCAGCTGGGGGAAAATCCCCCAAGATAAATGCTAGTAAGTCCATGATCTGAGCCATCTGAAACTGGACTGAGCAGAGCATGGCAAACCGGATTGCGGCAAACAGTTCTAGTCTGGCGAGATAATGAACACCATGAAGTCATTGGGCTTCCAGCTCTCATTTCTATGAGTCCATGAAATCCAAAATCTTACATGCTGATGGAGTGAGACCTCTGCATCTTAAACAATGTCAGTTCTGTAGCTAATAATAAGACCCATGCTTAGACACCTATCTTAAAGCTTCATTGCTTTTTCCCCTTTCTCTTCTTCTATATTTTTTCAGCTCTACATTGAATTCTTGCCTCTGCTTTAACATTTAATACCATTAATAATATATCTGTTTTCATAAACTAGTCATATATATTTGCATACCATACACCCCCATGCTTGTCCCAATTAATTTCTCATTCTCCCACAATCCCTTAGTATTCATGATGAAAGTTCAATCACACATTTGAAAACCATCTGCTAACAAGATTCAATTATTGAAAATATCCAAGTGCTGATAAAATGTAAGAGGATATCAGCTGAATGTCAGTCGCGCCCTTGTGTAGTATCAGTTAACAGTAAGGATACAGCACCTGGCCCAGCCTACTCAGCATTTACTTATTGTAAGCATACTCCATTCTAGTTTACACCTAGTTCTCCCCTCACCATTAAAGTGCAACACAGTTCATAAGTTTTCATTTTGATTTCTCTCCCCCTCCCGCTTCCTTTTGACCCCAGGAAATATTTTACACAGGCTTTTTATTATTATAGAACATATTTCTTAAAAAATAATTGTTACTATAATAATTAACTGACAATAAGGAAGTTCTTATTCTGTTTCTAGGGCTGTTGGAGAACAAGACTCACAAACAGGATGTACATGTTTCTACAGAAAGAGGGAAGTGAAAACCAACTCAGTACAAAAAGTGTTTCTATCTGGAGAAAGTGTGTTTTGAGATTTAGATCTCACAGGGGCACTGCCATGGGAACTTGGCAGATGACTAAGCTAAAAACTCTGCAACAGCAACAGCTTTCCTTTTTCCTAACCTATGATCTCCTGGAATAATTCTGTTTTGCCTCACTTTTGTCAAATGTGTTGAATTGATCATGTTTTAACTTTTCCTCTCAAATTGAAGTCTCCAGCAGTCCTCATTTTTGGGTACTATCCTCAGTAATTTATGACATTACATATTTATGCTTAAACACAGATATTTTCATTTAATTTCTTCCCGTATTTTCTATTTCCTGTGTACCCTTTATTCCTTCATTTCTCCCTCATGATGTTCTCTACAGTCAAAGGTCAACAGCATAATGAGTCACAAAATAGGATAAAGTGCTGTGATAATGGTAATTTAGGGAGATACTGACTTCCGTTCTCAGAGCTTTCAGTCTTCAGGATGTCTATCTAAAGTCATCTATGAATCTGATCAAAAGGATTTTTGAGAATCCTGAGTATATCTGGACAACTGAATGCATATAAAGGATGCTGTTTATCTGGGTATTTCTCACTTGAGATCCAAAGATAGGTCCTAATAGGCTGCGGAAAGAAAGCTTATGGATCTTCTTTCGTCTTCTTAACAAAGACATGCTGTGATGCAGGGCATGTTCATTGTTAAATACTCTTTGTGACTTGCACGCGACGTTTCTTCCTGAGCCTAGGAAAGAAGCTTACGTGCACTGAGTACCTGCTCTGGGCTCAGCACCCAAAGTATGGGATCTGTAACTTAGTTAAGAGCCCCAAACAGTCTACATTCAGGTTTGAAGTTTGACTAAAGTTGTTTAAAATGACCATATCATTGAGTCTCACAACCCACCATGATTCTTTCCTAAAGAAATAGTCTTTCTGAAATAAAGCCCGTTAATGCCACTTGATTATAGAAGGAATGTTCTGAACATGATCTACAAAGTCATACTGTGACAGGATAAAATGCAGCCTACCCACACCCACCCACACCCACCCACACACAGAGCACACACACGGTATAGATTCATATTTTTTTCTGCCAAGGAGCAGAGAAAAAAGGAAACAGTTCTATTCCTTCCCCTCCTGTGTTCAAAGCCTGGATTGGGGCCAGTGTCCTAATCAGTTCTCATTGGCCCTGGAGGAATCAGAACCTTTTGTAAAATATAATAAAGGGCATAAAATCATGATAAAATGCATGAAAAAGCAGTGCCTTTGGTTAGGGAACTAGAAATAATTTAGCAGAACAGATGGATTGCATTGGTTTGGTATTATTGAGGACATGAAAGGGCTCATTTTGTGGCAGTTCCAAACTAAGAGAAAATGTCCAACTGAAATTTGACAAGTCAAAATACCTGCCCCTGCTGGGGGAGACCCCATTTTCTTTAATCATTCTCAAAGTGGCAGCATATTAGCTAAGAATTTCCACTGAAATATCTCATTTTCTGAGAATATTTCATCCAGAGTACCTAAATATAGGGATGAATTTTTTTCTATAAAAATTCACAGGGTTGCAGACTTGCAGAGTTAAAAAAGGATCATAAATGACTTATGAGTGTCAAAGTTATCCTCTGTTGTAAATTCCATACTTAATGAATCAGTCCATGGCCTGTTCATTATGCTTAATACAGTTTTCTCTCTTAAACAACAAATATACAAATCTGGTCTCATTGCTCATGCCCAACTGGAGTTTTCAAATGCTACAACCAATTGCTTCCTCAAATGTTACATAAAAGACAGTCTGTATGCTCTCCCCACAAATGCATTCACTCCTTCTATATGTCTCTCATCTTCTAATAACCTGTTCTCCTCAGAGGTTTTTTTATAAAAGGGAATGAAAGAAGGAAGGAAGCAACTAAGCAGGCGGGCAGCCCAATACCTTTTTTTTTTTCTATTGATTACATGGAAAGAAAATATTTGCAAGTCAGGAGCCCTGATTTCTGGGTTCTGACTCCCACATGGCCTTAATGTGCTTACAGCCAGCTATGAGGTGCCTTCCCAGGCCTTTGTTCCTTCATTTACAAACATAAGGAGGTTTGATCAAATTACTCCAAAGCACCCTTTCAGCCTTAAAGTGATAAAATTTTCTACGAAAAATCTTACACACAATAAAAACTTAATAAAATATCGTTTATATGCATCCTTTATATGCATTATTTGACTTAGAGATTTGCCTTAGGCAAGAAAATATAATAATCAAAAATTATAA